CACATGATGTTGACCTGGCTATGATATACGTTGTTGCGATTGAGGGTGAGGGCGAGGGTGACATGATGCTGGACATTCTTGAAACCGCAGTGCTCATACAACAGAGGGGAAACATGTACAGTAAGCAACACATGATGTTGACCTGGCTATGATATACGTTGTTGAGATTGAGGGTGAGGGCGAGGGTGACATGATGCTGGACATTCTTAAAACCGCAGTGCTCAAGGTTCAAGAAATAGATGAAATGTCATTTTATTACATGTAATACTTCATGCACTAAAATGTCAAGGATTTTCTTAAACAGAGTCAGTATATTTGGCAATGGCAATATTATCCATACCAATATTGTCTGGTAGATAAACAAACACTTTAAGGATGAATTCAGCTAACACACTATTGACAGGAATTTCAAATTGGACACCAGAGTAGGGCCTAATACAATGTGGGAATTCAGGCATTGTTTCCATATTTATTTATTTACTCTTTTGTATTTAGTAGTACTGTAGAACATTCAATCAGCTATTAAAACAAAAATGAGCCTCTCTATCAGTTATCTCTGTCTATCCTAGAATGTGAGTGAGTAATGACTTACCCAGCTTCTATATAATGGTTGATAGCTGCATCCATTTGTTTCTGTGACACTAGGTAGTCTCCCCATTCTTCTTCTAACTTGACAACATCTTGCGGGTAGACGTTACGAGCTAGCTCCACAGCTATGGAACAATGAAGATGAAGTCATATCATTAGTTGCACGCAAGAATAGGGAAAGGGCAATTCTCAGGAGAGCTACAAAAAATGTCACAAAACATTTTATATTGCTTGGATGCGCACAACTGTACCATGTATTTCTACTGACACTGTGCGATCTGCTGGTTGAAGAGCCGATGAAACAAGCTCAAGACAAGAAAATAGCACAAACTTTGAGGTAATCCTGAACTACAAAATTTATAAAATTAAATGTTGCACATGTAGGGGTGAGTCTTGCTACAGTGTTCAGGAGAGTCTCAACAACTAGCCCATGGTACAGCTTTCTGAGAAAGTTTGACTGTTGTCTTCACCAGTGATGGTTGTGAGGCGGCGAAGTTCACTCCCAAGAATAACTATTTTAACAATTGCATTCACAATATTAAAATTAAATATGTAGCACACTTACAATAGAGTTAGAGGGCAAATAAGCTGATATTACTGACAAAAAAAACTGCCAGCCTTCATACTAAAGACCACAGCATGATGTGTATGATGTTCTGTAAGCCAAAGTCAGCCACAGGACAGAACATTGTCTTTACCTCTCCTATAAGCCTTTCCTCTTCTATAACATTCTAATGCACGTTGACTGTTACCAATCTTCTCAAATAAATCTCCAGCCTGTCACAAAATACAACAAATATTGAAATGGTGTGATACTAATTATCCTATACTAAACCGCTGTGTTACATGTATTGCATATTTCTATTCATTGTACAATCTATACAATTCTGTATCTTTGGAATAAACAACTTTATGTAAGGTATGTAAAGTTCAATCACAGAATATTAAACTACTCCTACCCTTTCATAGAATTCTCCTTTGATCAATGCTGCGGCAATGCGTTGTATGATATCTTGGTTTGTCATCAGCTCTTCTCGACTTGTAGCTAATCTAGCAGCTCTAGCCGGTAATCCTGCCTTCATATAGAGATTAATAGCAGCATGATAATCTCCCTCATTCTCTTTCAGGTCACCTGCCTTCTCTTCTTGTCCTGTTTCCATTAACCATTGGTAGTAATTACGCCGCAGATTCTCTAATTCTGGATGACCCTATTATGAATGACAAATGCATTGATGGGATCTGCAATTATTTTTTCCGATTTTTTTTACTTGAAATATAATATGATATATATTTTAAGTTGAGATTTTCACTTTTTTGTAACTGGAAAACAGATAACATTCGTTCTGAACACTGCAGGCTGATAGCCTACCTAATGTGGTGGATGGAACTTAATCAATCACACTTGCTCAATGTGGGTTGTCAGACTGTTTTTTAAGTGAGACACCAAGGCAGAAGTTTTAGGGTGAATTATAATACATGTAGCTGTAATAATTTATGGAAATATTTTCCTTACTTTGGCTTCAGCAACTTGAATTGACTCGTCCCATTTATGCAACAGCTGATACATCTCCATTGCTTCATCTATGTTATTCTGAGAGACAATACATAAAGTCTATTTAGTATGGCTAACTGCAGGCCTTTCTCTATACTATACTACACTACACACAGTATATCATTAGAAATGTATACCTATAACATATATATAATGTAATGTGACGCTTCACCAACATAATGCTATGTAACACTAATTTACAGAAACATAAAAATACTTAAAATGATAGCCACAATGTACCATAAAAGTTGTATTACCGGTAATGGTCGCACCGCTAATGGAAGCCGAACCTACTTTATTGAACAATTGAGAACCTAAAATTCACCACTTCTCATATGTGCAAATGCTATAATAGAATCCACACCCCTCTGTTGCACTGTAAATGTACCATTTTAATAGAAGCTGGGGTTTCGAGAACAGATTTTACTGTACATGATTCCGGTCAATGTTAATACCTGTTCTAGATAAACTGCTTCAGCTTCTTTGAACTGTTTATTGAGAGTTGCCAACTTAGCTCTGACAACATAATGACTGGTACCATCTCCACCCTAGTAAATCAGAAAAAAAAAAAAATACTTGAGTATGATGGAAAATCTGGAATTTTGAAACTCAAGAAGGTCAAACAGAAAGTAAGCATGAACGATAAGAAGACAGCAGCACTAAAATATCATATCAATATCCAAAGAGTGAACTTGCATTGGAGGGGAGGAGGTTGTCATGCTTCGCAATTATGGAAACTCTGTCCCCGATTGTAAGCATGGATAACGATGATTATTGGATGACACAAATTTGATTCCATAAATCATTGCCAGATTGTATTTAGTTGTCTCTTCTGACTTTTTTGTTGTAAGTGCAAATTGCAAGTGCTAGTGCTGACTCATAGTGCATTTTGCCACATAAGTCATATTCATGTTTGGAACTACAATGTACATGACAGGGCTGTGTGGCTATCTATCTATCAAATGGCAATTTAATGTGCTATCCTGGCGTCAACCAGGCTCGGTCAAACACAAGCACCTGCGGACCTTAACCAAGGTTCCCCCAAAGTCGCATTCGTTAGTGAATGAATCTCGACCAGTGGAATTGGCATTCCCATTGAGTCTGTGGCACATTCACCCAGGGTAGGGGTTAACCCTTTTGATGTTCAGTTAGGATTTGAACTTGGGTATACCAATCATGAGTCTGATGCGATAACCACTATGCTGCCAGTGACCGGTTGTCAAAGTGTTAATATTCTGTTTTTACAGCAAGTCTCAGAAGTATTGGGGCAGCCAATTTGCAAACTCGCTAGCGAATTGGCTAACTGCTTGGGTTTTGACTAAACGATTGGCTTTCGAATCTCGCTTGCGCCAGTTTGTGATCGCGTCCACTCTTGGCGAGTCTATATTGCATTAGGGGACATGCAATGTTTTTACGCATCCTCAGGCTGGTACATGTCTGGATTCCTCTGAACGATTTGAGCCCGAAAATGGCCACAGTCAGCTGGCGTGATAATATTATAAATGTGATTAATCTACCGATATTTATTATATGAGGTTAACTTCTTGAACACTGCTTGACACTAAATAGACAAGTTAAGAAACAGTTTCCTACAAATCAGGGAGAAAATAACAAACTTTCACACTCAAACGATCCGTTTGGGTAACATTAATCCAACCGCTGAAAAAATCGACCTCATTCGTCGTTTTTGTGTGGACACGAAAGAGCATAGAACACTTTCCCTGGTATATTTGAAAGCGAAATCGCCATCCAACTGTAAGACCGTTGCCGAATAGCTCCTAAAGTATGAGGATCGTCCCCTACTGTTATATAGATTCGCCTTAAGTGGGCGTGACCACAAGACGGCGCCAGCGAGATTCGAAAGCCAACCGTTTAGTCAAAACCCAAGCAGTTAGCTAATTCGCTAGCGAGTTTGCAAATTGGCTGCCCCAATACTTCTGAGACTTGCTGTATATATTTTATCTTTCTTAGATATTGATGAATGTGCATCGGGACCGTGTATATATGGAGAATGTACGGATCTTGTGAATGCATATACGTGTAATTGTTCTGCTGGATATAATGGAACCAATTGTGAACTGAGTAAGATGGGGTTATTTTTAAATAAAAAAAAAATGTATTGTACAATTGCATAGCGTTTCTATAACTATTATTTTACTAACTTGTTGTACGCCCTTTTCCTGGTAAATATAACCTTCTTTCATATTTTAGATATAAATGAATGTTTATCGGATCCATGTATGAATGGCGGCACCTGTACAGATGGAATTGACAAGTTTACGTGTACGTGTACATCTAATTGGACTGGTCTGACTTGTAACGAAGGTAAGTTATATAAAACAATGTTTATTTCAACCGACTATTAGTATACACTATCCGTGACCGTTTGTGGCAAAGTTAATTTTAATACAAAAAGCAAAATTGAAAATAGGAATTATTCTTGATTTAATATAAACTAAACGTGTGTTGTTTTGTTTTCTAATATTTATACACTGCCATGTACATTTCATTCTTAAGATGTGATTTGAATTTTTCTTTACTGTTACTTTCTTTGATCATGCTAAACGATGTAATGCGCAGATAGATAGCGGTATCTCAAAGGTGTGCCACTTTCACTTTAACGAACATACGTTCACGCTACCCAGAATATAGCTTGAACACATTTTCCATTCTTCCATGTACTTACGCCTAGGAGACGGTGACATTTGAAACAAATCAAATTGAAATTGATCGAAAGGCGATCGGCAGAGGCGCTATTCTTGTTATAAAGTAAAATAAACTTCAAACACTCATTTCTTTTTTATCAGTTATATTACATCACAGAGCTACTGCCTTTTGTATGTTTTAATTTTCAGATGTTAATGAATGTGAGAATGAAATACTTAACAATTGTGACCATAATTGTACAAATCATGATGGTGGCTATGAATGTCAATGTCGCGAAGGTTATGAATTGGAAGATGAAGGAAAATGTTGTGGTAAGTCTAATTGCATATAGCACCAGGTAATAAATGCATTTGTGCCTGAAACCAATGTAAACATTGAAATACACCTGTATTTGCCTAAAAAAAACACAACTGGGTTACCCCAATTTGGGTACACCTATTGTGACCTGTTTATTCAAATTTGTCAAATTGTTTGAATAAATGACACAGTTATAAAAAAAATCACCAACTCTATAATATGATGTAACACATTCCGTTATTTGAATTAACTATACGGAGCTATCTATACACTATAACCCAACCCCAGCATGCTATCATCTTCTGCACTATGCAATGAATTTAGGCTTATAATCTTATACTTAACAATTTACTCAATGGCAGAATGCATAAAGGAGAGAGAATTTGTTCCAACTTTCGAATATTATTGAAACTTATTTACAACTGCAATTGTTAACCTGAAATATTACAATGTTTTTATATTTAGAATATGACGTCATTTTGATACTACGCACGCCTTATGCCACATGCGTAATTTCGCAACTGAGTACAATATGTTCACGCGATTGTTCGTAGAATTTTTCCACCTTATGCGTAGGGACAATTGTTATTGACTGTTCAATCGAAACATTCCTTGAACAGTCAATGAGTTTGAACAATAGCCGATACACGACGAAGTGAATA